TCCTGCTGCTAAAGCTATCTTGCAATGAAATGATGGCATTTGTGTGTACAGACAATGGGAACTTTGCTTCTTGGCATCTTCTTCCACACTATACTTATTACTCATGTGGTGCCAGAGCTGTGTGTACTATGCAAGGAACTTCGCTGTCAATGGGAATTACATGCTCGTTTATAATGCTTAGGTATTTCAAAGAGAGCTCAGGATGGCTTTGGAATAGCATCAGTCTATTGGATTTCTTGGCTTCTCCAACTTGATAATTCTAAGAAACTGTGCTAATGCCTTTATCAGATTCAGCTTCTGATTTACACGAGCTGCTTATAATAAATCTGCCTTTGTTGTCTATACTGCTCTGAGCACATATATATATAGTGTAATAAAGTACTGAAGACTCTCTGACAATGGATATCCCAGAAATAACCAATAGAGCTGGTGATAAGAAAAGTTTGTGAAATACAAGCTCAGGATCTCTTTTAATATAAGGCAGAAGCAGAAATAATAGCGTCACTGAAGGAAAGAATGCAGCACTTCTGCTTAAACACCAGAAATGCCAGCAGCTTCCTGATGATGCTCAAATGTAACAGATTTACAAATCTATTTGAGCAATCAGACTAGAAGAGCTCGAGCCTTTGTCCTGAACATGGAGACGTACAGAATAACTCCAGGCTAGCCAGTGAATTGACAGTGATGTAAAATTGTCTCAGTGTTTTCACAAAGGACATCTAGAAGATGCCAACAGTAGCAGCATCTTCTTCCAGGCTCTTAACACCTGTGTCTACCTGAGGAGGCATCCTGCAGAACCAGCTCTTTGCACAGTGGTAGGGCTGCAGTCCAATCTTGCAGTGTGAGACTTCTCATGTGGCCAAACAGTTCTGCCAGCAAGCAGCACCCGTGTGTGTGTGCCATCAGGATTCCTCCCTCATGACATTGCCCACCAGCTGGCAGAGGAGACACAGCAGAGAGAGGTTTGCTCATCACAGGCTTGGTCCAGGTGCACTCATTTTTTGGCGGATGCTGCAGTTTACCCCACCAACTACAGGCTCAGAACAACCATGTGTTTCAGCTGAGGCTTTGCATGCAACTGGACAGCTGACCTCGACTTTCCAAACTGGCCCTTTGATTGCAACACAAACAGCATTGCAAGAATTTCCTCATTATCCCCATTTATTACTCTTCATTCCTCCAACCCCACCGGCTCCTTAATTTGCCTGATTGCCATTTCCCTTGTAGAAGCCCAGCCTGTGACAAGGGCCTCTCTTTTCTATGGCACGCTGCTTTTGACCCTGCCTGCAGTTCCCGCAGAAGTCCTGCGCACTATGGCATCTGCACCACTGAGCAGAAAGGGAAAAACACTCCTTTGTTGAGCCTCATGTGCTCGACTGGAAAACATCCCAACTCCTACAGCTTTTCCAGAAAAGCCCTGCCTGGATTCCTAGCATACTGCATCATGGACTTGGTGTTTCTAGGGTCTGCATTTCCTACAGAGACCTTCTGGAGACACAAGGCGCTCCTGGCCATGGGAACCTGTGGATGCTTCTGCTTTGCTGCCACAAGGCCTGTGCAAGCACACGAGTGCTGGGGGCTGAGCACCAGGCAACCCTTCTGAGCAACCCATCTGCTGGGTTTGCCTCTGGGGCACAAAAACGGCCCTCCACTCCTGTCTGGTTCATCAGCCAGGCTCAGG